AAAAAAAAAAATAAAAAAAACAACCGATTCGGTTAAGTTATTTGAAATCTCACTAAAACTCCATGTTCCCCTTAGTGGGCGATCAGCAGACTGGAGTATGGCACAACTAGTACAGAATTCTGCGGTGGAAAAGAGGTGATATTATATGAGGTGTTTGAGATTTGCTTACTCGAAGTTGTTTGTGTTAAATGATCGATATCGATCTGAGTACATCAGGAGCTATTCAGCGTTACACATATCCATCACACTTTATTTATTCTCGGACTGAGAAACAGGTAGATTAATGCATTATTTCGATTGAGGCAAGTTATAGTATTTGATGCTACTTATTATAAATCACGACTGAACCAAGTTCCAATATCCTAATCGGAATATAGAGACGACTTTCATCTGTCCAAGCGTTCGCACGTATCTGTAAGCATTCACACACACGCACACACACACACCAATCCTTTGGAACCAGGATCAACTAATGCGCTTCGTGACTTGTCCTGCTTTACAGTATGTTGCTTACATCCCTAAGATGATGAGGGTAAATCTGGGCTAAAGAGTAATCAATGTTTGTATTTCCTTTTTATACTTCATGAACATGCAAATGTACAGTTACACCTGGGGAAGGAGGCCGCAATCATTCAAAGGCTGTTTTGATGAATACAGAAATGAGGAAAATGGGTAGCGGTGATTCAGTTCGAACTCAGGCAACCCGACACGACGACCCTAAACGTTTGATTACAGTCGCCCAAACTGCAAACTGCACGTACTAACCGGGCCCGACGTTGCTTAACTTTGCTGACGAAACGAGAGCTAGTGTTTCACTGGGATATGGTCGGGGCCAATTGTAAAGTTAGTTTTTTGATTTCTTTTGGGCACGGCAACCACATCGTCATATCCACTGAACAGCGTCCTGTGCTGATGCGAGTTGTTTGTGTTGTGTCTGCTCTTTTGCGTGATCCGTCGAAAATCATCCAGTCATTAGTGATACCTATTTGCGTGTTACTCCCTCTCACACACATGAACAAATCGATGGGCAGTATCAATGCAGAGGTAGATATATTTACCATGACAATTAAAATAACAATAGTGAATTAGACAATGCGAAGGTTGGATATCATTTTGGTGTACATACTATGTCTATTTATACTGTGTTCGATCTGATCGCACTCACGCAATGCCTAACTTGTGTGTGTGTGTGTGTGTGACTGACAGTGAAAAAGGTCAAATTGAATAGAGGCTGTGTTGTATTGTTGTTTTGGTGGATAAAGTAAAATGAAATTCAGTTCAGCGCACAGATTTTGTTAAAATGACATGAGGGCGGATGACACACGGGGGAAAACCAGAGTGCGTGTGAGAGATTGAGGAAAAGTAGAAAGATTGGGACGACGAAATCATCCACTTACAAGTCACTGAAATGAACACAAATAGTTGCTTATTTCTGTCTTACATCGATTGCCAGAGGCTGATCCATTCTCCACGAAAAAATATCTAACTGCAATTAGTTGGCGGATAATGACAATGACAGCGATGGTAACAGAAATACGACTGAAGCATTATCCTCACCATCCTCGTCATCATCATCATCTTAATAGCAATCTCTAAAGAAGGGCTCAATTCATCTAATCTTCACTTCGCATCCTCTTCCACGTTCGGCCTAATTAAAATAACCCCACATAAAAGCAACTGTGTAGCCACAAGTAAAAGTTGAATAAGTGATGTGAGCCAAACGAATGGAACTAAGTGTTCAGTAGGAACGAAGTGGTATGCGGACAAACTCATGCCCAGTGTTGCATCACCTAACGGACCCAAGTGGTTCTTGAATGCCGCTCGCGGAATAAGACAACCGATTGGTATCACTTTACAAAAGCGAATCATTTTTCTAAATCAGTTTTGAGCACTTGAATGTATGGAGGAATATGAATTTAAAATCTGGTCCATTTTGCGGTGCTCCTCAAAGTACAGTGGCTCGGTCAAACGTCGATTTTTATCAGATCCGTATATGAATGTTTGGATGGATCCTATACGGATCTAATACTATGAGCACGACGCACAATTTTTTCAAAGACATCCGTTCCAACTTTGGATGTGATACCGTGTCGATTTTTATCCCCTATTCATTAATTGAGCTGTGGATATTCATGCTCTATACAAAATATTCCGTTCCGCGCAAACCTCTGTTAGAGGACTGTGGGTTTTTCCTGTTGGTACGCCACCTCCCTGTAGAGCACAATGGCTTTAAACGCTTGTAATCATCCCATCGTACAGTCACAAGACCAACTCGATCAGTTTTCCCCGGGGACAACTCAGTATTAAGTTTCACAATTGTGAGTCTGATCGAGCTCCGTTCCGCTGATATTCACACCTTCATTGAGCGCATTGTTCGGTAGCCGTGATTATTCTACTCAACGTGATCGCCGAATACCAAGGATAGTTCGAACAGATTAGTCACACTGAACCGAACTGTAATCATGAAGGTGAGGAGGGGGGTTGTTAATTGTCCGAACCACAACGGAACAATCAGACCGGAGAGAGCAGGCATGCGCGGGAGGAAGGCTTTTACCATAACCCGGTCAATTGTGAACTTCGTAAAACGCGGTAGACTGTAAAGC